AATGGGCATCAAAACCAAAACAAGGGGCGACTATTCTGGGCACAGGGCTTATCGGAGAGGAGGAGAGCCCGATGATCTGATCCCTGATCTGTGAAATGTTTGACCAGGGTATCTGGATATCGATCAATCCAGCCTCTCACGAATACAAGCCGCACCCATCCGTTTGTTCGTCCAAGTGAATTGGTCCCCCTGGTATCCAGGATCATGGAGCCCGAGGTTATGAATAAAATCATGCAGGCTAACAGAGTGAGCAACGTTCCAAGGTTCCCATCATCTTTTTCACTCTCATAAAGAGTAGTGTTAAAATCGCCAATGACAACATAGGGAAAATGGATAGTTTCACAGATTTCCTGGAGTTTGGCCAATTCGGTGGCTCTTATTTCGACATTACAACTAATGTAAACACAAACCACAACATACAAAAAATCCACTTCATTAATTTGAGCACAAATACAAAAGTTGGAATGAAAAAACACCGAAGCCTCAACTTCGGGGGGCCAAGCTATCACTAAACCGCCAGATGCCTCAATCGCATCTACAAAAAAACAACGAGAAATATCAAACCATAAACCCAACATACGGCGGGAGACTACTCTCCGACTCGATCGTGTTTCAGAAAAAAAACACGAGATCCAGTTTATTTGAATGAACTAAACCGACAACAGTTTGGAATGTGATTGATTGTCCAATTCCCCTCACATTCCAGGCCAGAAGCCTAATTTATCCGGTTGGGGCCATTTACAGCCTGTTTGGATAGACAAAAAACTCAGGAATTGGAATTCCATTTTCAATTCCAGTTCCATATTTTATGTTTGAAAGGATAAGAAGGTTGAGAAATGAATTCCATTTGGGCTAAGTTTTGGGAATTACAATTCCTATCAAAAGTGATAGGAATTGTGTTTATGAAGATGGAATTAGTGGGTCCCATCACTATTTATTATTATTTTAGTAACCAACTATCACACTACTCTCTTTCTCTATCATTCATATTTCATTTCCCAAGATAAAATAAATATATTATATTATTAATTATTGTTAAAAGTGCAATTCATTTCTTTAGTTGGAGGAATTATACCAAACACTAAAATTGGAAATGGAATTTTATAAAAATAGGAATTGTAATTAGAATTCCATTTCCATTTCTTCTTGAATTGTATCCAAACAGGCTGTTAAGGTTGGCTTCCTCCACCTTATCAGTACCATCCTTATCTTCCACAAATTATTTTTTGGGGAAGGGGTTTCAGTGATTTCCCCATCCAGTTCAGCAAGCACACGTTTCTTAACCCTAACCCCAGGATCACCAAAATTTGTGCCATACTCATTGAGGCTCTGAGGCACTACCTCATTCTTCGCTTCCGCCGACTCTAGCCTCTTCTTCACTGTTGGGTTTAGAGGTTCGCATGGGCTGTACCTCATACCCGAATCATCCATAGCCAGCCCAACTTCAAAAGCCTTGATGACTTTGCTCACCTGTCCATTCTTAACCCTCCGCCCTATGTTTTTATTTTCCATGGGAACCCGTTTTTTAACCTCAAAGAGCTGGGGATCCTCTTCAGAAATTCCACTTCCGAGTCCTCCAGCTCCTTGTGAGCAGACTAATAAACATTTGAAGAGACTAGCAGCGGATCAGCCTCATCCCTTTCCAGTACAGACGCATCATTCTGAAGCGGGGCAACCCTTCCTTTCTTGCTCATGGCCTGTTGCTCGCGTTGTTGTCTAGGTCAGCCTGCCTCGGCGAGGTTTAACTCCTTGCTTAGATACTTTGGTCCCCGCGCGCTTGACACTTGATAGGTGAGGGGAACTCTCCCCTTTCTGCAGAGCTTCAAATGATGGCTCGGCAGGAGATAATGGGCGGTTCGACTGTTGCTCCTCAAGCTGAGTAGGATCCCGGGTGATGTCCTCACATAGATATGCATGCACGGATGCATTAGGTGATTGGATATCATCATCCGAATCAGCCTCTAGGATTAGCCGACGACGTCTAGGCATCTCCTTTCCCTGACGTGATGGGTAGCTCTGGCTTAAGGTGAGGAAAATCAATCTTCTTTCGTCCTCCACTCACCCGATCCTTCAGCTTGATTACAAAGTGCCAAGTTTTTACGTCCCTTGGATACACTCGACAACATTTGCCTCTTTCCCTACTTTTCCGAGTTGTTTGCATCTCCAATCCGACCCGTAAACTTGCGGAAACGCTTCCCGATATTAATCTTGGTAGCCTTAGCCATTAAGAACTTGTAAGGGCTACCTTGTTGCTTTCCCAACTTTTCCACCTCCATAAATGGATTCGATGAGGTCCCCATCCATAAAAGGCTCTCGCCAGTATTAAAGTGCCTCCCAACATTAGATCGCACCCTATCCACTTCTTCCATACGATGAAAAGGTTTGTTATCAGTATTGATAGGTCCCTTATGCTCCTTGTTAACCCAGACCGAACTCGAGATGCCCCTGTAGCGCAAGTTAGCCTCATCTTCATCATAGATTCTCCATCCTAGCTTCTTGGTGGACATGTGAGGGCCAAATCTCTCCTTTCCAACCAGTGGATCGAAAGTGCAGGCATGGTAAGATTGGCCTCCCGTCCACAATGAAAACAAAAACTTGGCAAGTGTTCATATTTCAAGCTAATCCAGAAGCACCCTGTTTCATCATTAGAAGCCATAATTTGCGACCGCAACGGTTTCAAAAAATCAAGAAGAGCCTTAACCTTGACGAAAGGGCGAGCAGTGTCAGTACAAGCGTACACGCCTACCTCCAAAACTCGTCCCAGAGTAGATGTTGCCGCTTTCCTTCCAAACTGCTCGGTACAACAACCTTCTTGAACTTCCCACAATTGGACACGATATGGAGCTATCGCGAGCTCCTCAAAAGTTCGTTTCGCGATCATTGGGGTCCAGGCACAGAGATGGAGAATCATATCTCTAATCACCCAAGGTGTGAGTTGGAGAACCCAAGTTTTGGCAGCCTCATTAGGGAGAACGAACTCAAACAATCCGTGAGCTACCATTCACACCTTAATACGTCCATGCCCCTGCCACGGTTTATTCACCCAGTCGCGAAGTTCAATTAGAGTAACTCGGTTGTTAGTGAAAAGGAGGCCGAGCTGTCCTAGGGATTTGCGAACCTTGTCCGCTTGGATCTCCTCTAAGGAGAATTGCACAACTTGATCCCGTGTAACATGTGCCATTGTGTCGTCCTACAAAAAAGGAAGCACATGAGGATCACCTGCATCGACCATACAACCCCAGGGCTCTATTGGTGACCACGGGAAGCAAGATAAATAGTATGAAAAAATTCAAACCAAGGTGGTATCAATCAATAGTGGGAGAGTAACATCAACACCACTGTACCTCCACGTACCAGAATGATATTGAAGCCTGAGGGGAGAAGCTCTTCTCATCACTACCGACTGAGACTCTCTTTGTTTATGTGGTAGGAGAGAAGCCAATAGAGCCGTATTTCCCTTTAGGCAAATAGTTGTATAGTTGGAATTGGAGTCTTTGACTCAAAGTAGTTTGAGGACTCTTAGAGGTCGTTTGCTTCAAGGATTTGGACGTGGGATTTGGTTCTCAAATCCAACACATGAAGGATTTGTCCAAAAGCCATTGTTTGTTGAGCCAAGATGGAGGGTACCAAATCCGTGGGGTCCACTGCCCACGGATTTGTAAATCCCACCTCATACCCTGGGATTTGGAGAAAAGTTGAAACACCATCAAATCCATGATAAAAATAGCTCAACAAACAAAAGATTTCCTCAAATCCATAATGTCCAAAATCCCTAATAAATCCCAAGGTTTTTAATTAGCAAATCCATGACAAAACCCTCGTTATAAAATCCTTGAAGCAAACGACTTAGAGTTTCCCCCACGTTTAAGGATACGTAGGGAGAGAGATACCCATAAACTAACCGTAAAATCCGGGATGCAGATATCCATTAAATTTTACCCCCGATCTGACGCAGCGGCTGTTTCGCTATGTAAGGAGCATGCCGGCAGACCATTATTGGGCTAGGCCAGGAAATTTTTCCTGGCGGTAATTCTCCCACCATTGGAAAGAAGATCTGTGCCCCATTTTGAGGACGAGATTTTGGTCAGGTGGGGATGATTTGCACCTCCATTATCCTGCCATGGAGAACACTGATCATGGGGAGAGGATGGGGTACATCCCCGTCATCACAACCCATTTCACTCGACAATGGTAACTTTCAGCACCACGACTTCATTGTCGAAAACCGTACACGTTTGGGCGTATCATCACCAGAGACACGCCCATCAGCTAGGAAAAACCCTAGCTTTCGTTTGCAAATGTTCTTTTTGGGGTTTTGCAAATGATGCAAAGCTGATTCTCGATCGTCGTTCCATCGTCAACCATAACAGGGATTATCGGCGATGTCGTGAGATTTGCGATCGAGACCCTCCTGTTACATAGGCTAGACCATAGCCCATCACTACAACCCTGGTTCTTCAAAGTTCAAACTAATGTTGATCATCGTTACGAGGGAATCACAGAGTTCTTACAAAAACTCTTCTATTTAACCTCAAAATGCATCTTGTCAATTAAATTCAACTTCTTACTTATAAATCATGGATTATTTCATACTTTATTGATGTGAGATTCGCCTAATACATTACAGTTTGATTTGTGTGTCCGTATAGATAGAAACAAATAAAAAAAAGTAGAGCAAGTTTTCAACTCACCAAAATTTCTTTGTATCAGTGTCGGAACAACCTTTCTAGGGTTCCTCATTCGTCTTCTCTCTCTTTTTCCTAGCCTTCAATGGAATTCTCCACCATAAAACAACTCATAACAAATCTACCTCCACCACTCCAACAACCTTGGATCATCTATAACACTCACATTCTTGGGTTGGCTTCAGCTGGCACTAGACATTTTCTTTTACTCCTTTCATTTATACTTCAAGCACGATTGTTATAATATATACTTCCTTCACCATTTCAAAACAGATCAATCTTAAAAAGATTATTGCTTGTTTGTCAGTAGCCCATATGAATTTGATGACTATTGGTATGTTTAGTCGAGCGGCGACCGTTAGGTCACTATATCGAGTTATTAACATACAAGGCCAAAACATGTATGTCGGGTGTGTGACCCATCAACTACCTAGCAATGGTGGAGAAAACATAGGTTGTCATAATAAAAGCTTCAAATTATGCAGAAAGAGTTTCTAGGTAGAGGAACAAAGTTGGTATTGTTTTGTGCTTTTCAAGGTCAAACACACTATATGATGATTTAGATCAACAGTTGAATCAAGTTGGAGGATGAAGATGGAAAATTACTAGAAGCTGGTAGACCATTGATTGCACATGTTTTCACCCCTATTCTTGAGCCGTTTGAGATGTTGATTCTCGTGTTTTAAGCCGATTTCACGCTAGGTAGTGCGTTTATGTCATATTTCAGGACGTAGCGTTGGCATCAAGGCGAAGAAAACGAGTTTCGGGTCGAAAGAAGCACGTTTGGGTCGAAGTGTGCTGGAGGAGCAAAATACCCGGCCATGAGCAGAAATACCCGGCCTGGTATTATTTGGAGCAGACCGGGGAAAAAGCGTTTTGGACGTTTGAGAAGGAGAAGGGGGCCCCGGTTGTGAGGCTTAAATCAGCGGTCGGGGATTCTTGGCCTTGACCGGGGATTTTCCCCTGTTCCCCGACGGTGCGTTTTGAAGATACCCGGTCGCCACCCAAAATACCCGACCGGGTATTCAGACCGGGGATCGTGACAGACACCTTCTTAAGGGAAAAGAAGGGCAAAAGTGAAGGGTTCCGAGTTTTAGAGAGAAAAAGCACTACCTAGAGAGAGAAAGTGACGAACCTGATTCTTCAAGTGTCTTTGATCGATCTCCATCACCATTGGAGCCCGGCTTGAGCTTGGAGAGATCTGATTGAGTGCCAGAAGCAGATTCTCATCCTTCACAGTATGGTTTCCGCATCTGAGCTAGATTTCCCATCTCTCTCTATGGAGTAACTTTCTTATTCACCTGGGTATGAAGAACTCTAGATTTGTATGTTAGGTCTGATTGTATGAACCCAAGTACAGATTCCATGATTTGATTATATTCAATTGAGGTTTGAATTGTTGAATGACATGAATCCTGATCAAATTCCTGTTATTTCTGCTTTGACCTAGAATGAGAATATCTGCCTAGGTTGATAGAGCATCCTTGATTGAAGGTAGTGAATTGACGACTTTAGTCGAGGAGTCAATTCACTATTCTTTACCAGATTTACTTCGGTAGTGGAGGTTTGGTTCGTTAGGGCCTCAATCTGTTTACTCCGGTGGAGGTTAGTCGCCCGCTGGGGACTCAGATTGAGAGGGTCTGGAGACCTTTAGTCGAGACGGCAGACTGTTTAAGAACCTCCCGCAGTATAACTATCATTGGAATTGATTTTGGTAAATCACAATCCGGCTTAACTGCAGTCTAGGGGGAACCATATCCGGGTGACCTCTCTCGACTTGAAAACAACCTTTTTACCTGCTTTGTTTGTTTGCTTGTTTGGACCTTCACTAAATTTTCACCGCTAAATAATAAGAACTCACGGAGTAGTCATCACACTTAGGACCCGGGTTGACATTAAAACCCAAACCCACTATACTACGCTTTAGGAGGTGGTTACACTTGGCCATTTTCTAGAGTGACGGTAGGAGCGAGTCAAGTTTTTGGCGCCGTTGGCGGGGACGGCTAGGTTGTTGAAGAAACGTGGTTTCTGTTAATTTAGCTTTTCTTTTTCGCATTGTCTGTTTGCTTTGTCACATTTGTGCCTTCACGGGTTTGCTGCTTGATTGTGTGCAAGTAGTGCATGACCCGTAGCTAGTCAAGAGGGTTACTGCCGTTGGATCCGGAGCTTGAACGCACCTGTCACCAACTTAGGAGACAACAGCGAGCTAGACTGGCTGCGGCGGAGCGCATAGACGGCCACTTGAGAAGCGATTCCAAGGAAGAGTACGAGATGGAAGGTGAACACAACCCGCCCCAGGGGATACCTCTCCAGGTTCCCCCGGTGAATCAGATCTTGGGGAACAACCCCATACCCCAGGCAGATGGGGTTCAGCATCAACCACTGCCGCCGGGTCCCACCTTGGAGTACTACTATACTCCACTGGTCGCTGATATCCGCCCGGTCATCCTCTATCCACCTATTCCAGCGAACAACTTTGAGATCAAGCCATGCTAGATTCAACTCATTACATCCTCTATCCAGTTTCATGGCTTGAAGGATGAGGAATCAAGGGTGCATCTTTCTTGTTTCATGCAGCTGACGAACGGGTTCAAGATGAACGGTGTACCCGATGATGCGATTTGCCTTCACCTCTTCCCCCATTCTCTGGCGAGGCATGCTAAGAGGTGGTTGGAGACCCAGCCCCCATTGTCCATCACTTCTTGGGACGATCTTGCCGACAAGTTCGTGCACAGGTACTATCCAGCATCGAAGACCACAGAGATCCAGCGGGAGATCACTCACTTCCGCCAAACGCCAGATGAATCACTTCGTGATGCATGGGAGCGGTACTCGGGATTTTTCTGGCAGTGTCCCCATCATGGCTTCAGTGATGCATTCATCGTGGGGAACTTCTACAGTGCTCTCTCTCCGGAAAGCTAGAGGGTGATTGAGTATGCCCAGGAGGGGATATTCTTACTAAGACTCCACCCGAACTGAACCAGATGATCAGTACCTTGGCTTCCAGAGATCATTCCTGGGGGGCAGAGCACCAGAGGCAGGAATTCACGAGATCGAGGTGTGCACGCCATGGAGGCCAGGTCTAGGCTAGAGTGGGAGGTGGCCGAGTTAGTGCAGACATTGAAGCAGCCCAACAGTCTTATTCCGGGCAGAGGTTTGGCTGTACCTTCAGTAGCTCAATGTCAGTGGTGTGAGAGCTCGAACCATCTGGTGGAAGATTGCCAGGCTATGCGAGAGTCTTCTACTCCCCAGGAGCAGTTGGACTTCATCGCCAATGCTCAGCGCCTTGACCCATACAGCAGTACATACAATGAGGGGTGGCGCCAGCATCCCAACTTCGCTTGGAATAGCAACACCACTAAACCACCTGGTTTCCCAGCACCAGCAGGTGGTTTCCAATAGAGGCAGCCTTTCCAGGCTATACAGGGGCCAGTTCCACAACAGCAGCCTTACCAGCCTAGGCAGGGGCAACCATTCCAGCAGCCCCAGCGTCAGTATGCCCAGCCTCCAGCAGCTGCAGCTCCAGATAATCAGATGACGGAGCTGAAAAATATTTTGCAGGCATTCATGACTACCAGCCAGGAGAATTTACCAGGATAGACCACAGCATCGCCTCGCTGGAGGCGGGTCAGAGGAACCAAGGTGCCATACTGTAGGACCTCTAGCATCAGATTGGAGGAATAACCCGCCAGAATAATACCAGCGCACCGGGAACTCTGCCTGCCACCACCATCCCTAATCCTCGCGAGCCTCACCAGCAGCTGGATGCCATCTTCACTAGGAGTGGCAGGCCAACATCGGCTGTACCTTCCCCGACCAGGCAGGAGGAACCACTACCTGTTTCAGCACTTCCAGCCGAGGATGCAGAAGTGAGGGTGGAGAAGGAAGCCCCTACTCCCAAGCCACAACCAGTGGTTAAGGAGCATGTACCCTAGCTTCCTTTCCCCACTCGCTTACACAAAGACAGGCTGGAGACTGAGTTTGCCAAATTCATGGCAATGTTGAAGCAGGTCAACATCAACATGCCGTTCGTGGAGGCACTGTCGAAGATGCCCAAGTACGCCAAGTTCATGAAAGACATCCTCACAGACAAGAAGAAACTTGGGGATCTTTCGACAGTGCTGCTGAGCGAGGAGTGTTCTGCTATCCTACAGAACAAGCTGCCCAAAAAGCGCAAGGACCCAGGGAGTTTTACTATCCCTCTTACTATTGGCAGCATGCATGTAGGCAAGTCCTTGGCGGACCTAGGCGCTAGCATAAATGTCATGCCGTATAAGTTGTTGAAAAAGCTAGACTTAGGTGAACTTAGCCCTACTAGGATGAGCATTCAGCTAGCTGACCGTTCCATTGTGCATCCTAGGGGTGTCATCGAGGATCTGCTTGTTAAAGTAAGCGCATTCACATACCCTGTTGATTTTGTTATTCTAGATATAAATGAGGATGTGGATGTGCCTTTGATTTTGGGTAGACCATTTCTCTCCACCGCCAAGGCACTTATTGATGTGCATAGTGGTAAACTGATCTTGCATGCTGGGAATGAACATGCTACTTTTTCCGTGTCTAAATTGGATCACTGTGATGTACTTGCTGTCACACCTATGCATGCTACTTCTGACCAGGTACACGAGCCTGTCGTGTATCTTTCTGCATCTCTCATTTTGCAGGATCCCCCTCTCACTCCTTCGCCTCCACTCCCTCCAGCCTCACCTCCGAATAAAAAGATTAAGGAGGAGTGGCGGCCGAAGCCGCAGGTGGCTAAGCTCGCTCGAAAGAAAGGTGGCGACCACCATGAGCTGGTCCCACCTCCTGTACCACAACCACCCTGGCCATCCGAGTACTCACTCATTTGCATCCTGCCAGATGGCCAGATCGAGCTGACAAATGCTGGTGGTTGCACCCGTCGGGTGCATGACCACCATCTGAAGCTGTACCTCAAGAGAGATGTGGATCCACTCTTGGAGGCACCTGTTCTTGCACCCCTCTAAGTATCCACCATGGGGGTCCAGCTAAAAGACGGTAAAGAAGCGCTTGTGGGGAGGCAATCCCACCACGGTTTGCATTTATTTCTTTTGTTTTGGGTCGGATTGTAAACTAATTTGGTTTCGGTTTGTTTTCTTTTGTTTTGGATGATGTACTATTGGGCTGACCATTGGACCTAACGTATTGTGTTTGAGTTCTTCTGTTCCCTTTAGCTGTGCCTTTACACTGACTGGTCCCCTCTCCAGTCATCTTAACTCAGACTGGTCCCCTTTCAGTCTCCTGCAGTCCGTGCACACCGGTAACATCGTTCCCCTTATTCTCCCCTCTTCTCCATTGAGGGCAATGTCGATCTTAAGTGTGTGTGTGTGTGGGGGGGGGGGGATGTTTCTCTGTTTCTCTTTTGACTGCATTAGATCTGTTTGTGTGCTTGGAGCCTAGTTCACTGTCCAAATTTTTAAATTTGAGGGCTCCAAGTACGTGTTTACTTGCAAATTGCCTGCTCAGTATGCTTTGAATTG